AGAGAGAGAGAGAGAGAGAGAGAGAGAGAGAGAGAGAGAGAGATCAAAACAAGTCAGCAAAATATTCTTCGCGATCAAGGAAAAGAAGAGAAAGACAGCAGCAAAAGCGTCGCTCGCTGTCTGAGACGTCGAAGACGGCGTCTCGACAACAAACGGCGAGGTGAGCGGTTGCAAACATCAAGAAAAAAACAGGTTAAGGATATTTGCCGCAAGACGAGACAGGACAGTGATGGCAAGAGCAACAGCAGCAACAGCCACCGCCACGAGAAGCTTCCCTGTTTGTTGGCAAAGCTCGAACAGTCTAATGAATGCTAATTAGTAGATCTTTTGTAGGGCACTGCAGCCAATAAGTGTCGGCTCACTACGACTACGACACCACCACCACCAGTGCTACTGTACAGCACACTACCTGTGTTGATGCCGTTGGCGATTCTCTCAAGGAGAGAGGCCGATATCACCAGAAAAACACAGAGTGCACACAGACGTCGATCTTGCAAGTGTGCTCGCCACCAGTGCCACCACCAGAAGGCATATAGCAGTGGTGGTGGTAGGCGAGAGAGAGAAAGAGATTGCAAACACCCTGAATCGTGCAAGGAAACTATGAAAACAAAACGAAACCAGCACAGACAGCTGATGAGCTCGAGTCGACAGCAGTTCGGCGTCGGCGTCATACGGTTGACCTCAATCCCAGCGCCTTGCCGTCAGTTGAAGTGGCAGCGAAAGAGAGTCTGCGCTTTCGAGAGAGTTGAAGTTTTTTCTGAGAGCTCGAGAGAGATCAAAACAAATCATTCCGGTATATAATAGATCACACACACGCATGTCCAAAGGTAAGTGGACGCAGTGGCTGCTGCTGCTTCAAGAAAACCATGGCGCCGACTTGCGTGAGAGAGAGAACACTCGGTATTTGGCACAAAGTGTACTCGTACTCAAACGAGCTTTCTCTCGCGCCAAACGAAAGAGACCAAAACAAAACCATGTGACTCCGCTGACAGGACTGCCTGTTACTGCAGCACTGCAGATGCTCGATTGTTATTGTGCCAGGAGCAGAGCAGAGGAGGGAGGGAGAGAGAGAAGCTTTAATGCGACAGCTCGGCGCCAAGGAGCAAGATATGGAAAGTGTGTAGAGTTCAGGCAAGTGGAAAAGAGCAGAATGAGGAATCGGCAACAACACACCAGAATAGTGTAAAGAGTGGAAAGAAGTGCAAGTTTTCCTGCTATCTGCACGCGAATCTAGGACATTAATACTTGATTCTCAAAAAAGTCTCCTGCAGAGGCAACTTTCCTTGAGCAAACTCGGCGAAAACATTTGAATGAGAGAGAGAGAGAGAGAGAAAAAAAAAGTGGCAAGCAGTAGCAGTAGTGAGAGACTGGAAACTAGGTGAAGATGTCTGCAACTGTGACTGGCCTCAGTCGACTGCTTCCAGTCATGTGACGACACCGGTCGCTGTGGAAAGAGACACGGTCAGAGTCATTTGACGAACGGGGAGAGAGAGAAGAAAACAATGAGTGAAAGACTAGTTTCGCTGCCATCACGAAGAACAATCATGAATGAGTGAAGGAGCCAACAACGGGTTATGGCGGTGGGAGCAACCTAACGGTGCAGTCAGTCAGTCAGCTCCCTGGCGACACACTAAAGNGAGAGAGAGAAGAAAACAATGAGTGAAAGACTAGTTTCGCTGCCATCACGAAGAACAATCATGAATGAGTGAAGGAGCCAACAACGGGTTATGGCGGTGGGAGCAACCTAACGGTGCAGTCAGTCAGTCAGCTCCCTGGCGACACACTAAAGGGGATGGCTATATTAAGGCCGAGAGGACTGGCGGTGGTGAGGAGAGAGTTGACAGGCGGGCACAGCACACCGTCCTGGAATGCGGAATTGGCGAGTGCACCACACCGTGTGTGTGTGTGCCTTTCAGTCTGAGCGAAGCAGCAAGTCGCTCCAGACTACTCTGGCACAAACAGGATCGAGTGGAGCTACTAAGAAGAAGGTGAAGGCAACTGCAATCCCCTTTCCAGTGGACACTCACTCACTCATACATCAAGTAGTCCGGTTGTGTCCAGAGCCATTCGGTAAGCTTGATGAGTGGTAGTGGCGGGAAAGCAAGGAAAGCACGGTCGCCGCTTTCTCACCACGCTGACCACTTGTGTTTGTAATTAGGGACTTTTACTGCTTCCGACATCTGAGGAGCTCTATGGGGCATTCGAACACTACTTGCCCCACAGGACCACTCTACTGGCCATCCATTGAGAGCAATGCCAAAAGACACAATGAATGCCAATGGCAGTGATCATCATCACAAGTGGGCAGTGCAGAGGCACCGCGCAAGCAAAAGGACCACATGGTAACTGAGGCTGTAATTATGTAGGGCACTACAACTCTTCATTTTTCATTTGGTTCAAGTTTTTTTAATTAGTGTGAAAATTGGCAGCAAACTTCTTCAGAAAGTGACAGCGCCAGATGAACTGAAGATGGACTTCAGAAGTAGCCAATGCTTAGCAGCTAAGCCAATCGATCTCAATCAATCGATTACGGCTATAAATAGTTTAGCGCGGTTTTTCGAGTATGACTTGAGCCGCCAGATATTAAGGTCGAGCAAAAGAGCGTAAGTGAAATTAAGTCGTAAAAGCAGACGGCTGCACTGAAGCAAACAGGTAGTGGAAAGCGTGGTTACTGGCAAAGAGAGAGAGAGAGAGAGAAGTAAACAGACAGACAACTTTACTTCAAAAGTCAAATCGACTGGGCAGTCCATGAGATAGACATCAACAAGTGCGGCTCTCTTTTACCTGTGAGAGAGGAAAACAGTTTGGAGAGAGTCGACAACAGTCCAAACTGGAATTATTGCCAAGTGCAAACATACAGGGCACCTGAGTGACATTCCAGTGATCGTTAGTTAGTCAACCACGAGCAAGCAGCAACAGCGCACTTGCTTGAAAGGGGACACATCAGGTGCATTGCATGCATGCGACAGGTGAACCTCAACATCAGAATTGAGCCAGGCTTTTGAACTCTTAATCTGCAGGCTGCTCACCTCAAGCGAGGAATGGCAGCCAGCTGAGAGATCAGCTGGGATTTGAGCAAAAAAATTTTCCTCTTAAATTGAGAGATGTATTCATAAGGTTGTTAGCTGGAAAATGTATGTAATCCCAAACAACATGCACTAATAGTCATCCATTAGACTTAAGGGCTTGCATTTTCCCTCGCTTAGAGGAGAGATAGTCTACCAAATTGCTGAGACTTATGGCTTTCAGAGGGCTACAGACTGCGCGTCCCAGTTGGTGGTAAGGAATGTGAGAGAGCCGCGAAAAGACTAAGCGAGAAAAGGACAGAGATTTGTCAAGGCTAGTTGTGGTAGGGACAGGTGTCCTCCTCCTCCTAAGAAATGAAACAAACAAAAAAATAAATGCACTTACCAGTAAAGTCATTGTAGGGAGTATCCTTCAGGTAGGCGCCAGAGCCAAAGTCAACCAACTTCAGCGACAGAGTTCGCTGGTCAACCAGAATGTTCTCGTCTTTGATATCTCGGTGAACGATGCCAGCCTTGTGGCAGTGGATTACGGTTTCGACGACTTGGCGGAAGAATAATCGCGCCAGGCGCTCATCAAGCGACACACGCTCGGTAATGTAGTCGAACATGTCCTTCACGGTCTCGGGTCGCTCCATGACGATGATGAAGGATCCATTGTGCTCGTACCAGTCAAGCAGACGAATGACGCCACTAACGTGAGCTGTCTTTTGCAGGAGCATCACCTCAAGTGGAATTCTTCGTCCTTCGTAGTTATCCCAACTGGTCACTTTTTCGTTTTCGATATGCTTTATTGCCACCTAAAAGAATCAGGGTGGGAGAAATGATTCAAATAGTTAGCTTTCTTTTCTCCAAAACGAGTAACCTGCTGAAAAAGTCAATAAAAATGATACTTACAGGGACGCCATCTCGAATTCGGGTGCCGGCGTAAACAGTGCCGAATCCTCCTTTGCCGAGGACGTTGTTTACGCGGTATTTTCTTTCGAAAGAAGACTTGTCGTGGCGAACTGAAAAGAGAAAAAGCAAGTTGTTGTTATTTAGAGTCATTCGAAGTGAGCAGAAAAAAACAGAACAAGTCAACAAGTAAGGATCTATTACCGCAGTTAAGAGAATCATAAGTGTTATAATACATATTGTCAACAAAACAGTATTGAGAAAAAGGTCAAGTTATATTAGATTGAAAACTTAGAACTAGAAGCTTGAGCGAAACAGAACACAACACTAGCGAACGACGAGAAACTTGGCACTTGTTTGGAGTAGTAGACACAAAGTATCGAAGAAGTAGGAAAAGGGGTGAACAGAAAATAAACAGAAACAGACGCGCATTCAGTGGAGAAGCGAGAAAAGAGCCCGAGGAGCAGGAGACGAGGCCTTTTGTAGCCGCGCCGAGCAGAGAGGGCAGCGGCGAGTTGTCCCTGAGCTGGACTTGAGAACGCCAAAGCTGAGCAGAAGTTGAGGTGGCCACTGGCCAGAGAAATGGCGCGCTCGGACCAAGCAAAGTTGACTTGCCTCTGACTTGCCTCGCTCACCTCTGTCTCACAGTCACTTAGTCCCGAACCGCCGGCGTGGCCTGGACGACGTGGCACTTCGGAGAGCAGAGTGAGTGAGCCGTCAGCTGACTCACTCTGTCACTGCCTGCTGTCAACAGTAGCGCCCTTGCTAGCTACGGAAGAACTGCACTTTCGCAGTACAGTGCGCGCTCATCGGCAACTCATCAAAAACAGCTGAGTTCGATCGATGAGAAAGTGAGAAAGAGAGAGAGAGGGAGTGCTGATGAACTGAGACATGCCGCCGCCGATGACGATCAGATGACGAAGGTCTGATTCAAAGTGCAACCGTACTCTGCAACCGTATCGCGTGGAAAGCCTTATCTGCCAAGGGAAATGTGCTGCCCAGTGTAACTTGTGACTGCTGGAGCAATCCAAACAGAAGGAGCTCACGAGACTCTCAGGGAGGACTCTTCCAATGTCCACGCTGGCAAGGAAATCCCTCTCCTTGGGAGCGTTCCAAGTGAACCCGGAAAAGGGGGAACAGTGTATCAGTGGACAAGGACTGGGGCATCGTCAGTGGAGTGCCTCAGTCTTTGTATCTGAGCTTCTCAGTGTCTGGCTGCACTCAAACTCGATATGCACTCATCAAGTGAGCAATCTAACCCATTTGCCTGCTACTCTGTTGCACTGTCGCCTGTCTGGCTGTGCCCATTGAGTTGTATCAAGATTTCAGCAGCAATTCCTCGGAAACGGAGATCGATTTCAACGGTGGTCTGAAAGCCCCTCGGTGTGAGCGCTGGTAAAGTGATTCTTACTCTCACTCTTAACTTTTTGAATCACTCATTGCCCGACTTAATAATAGATTGCACGTTGCATTGCACATTCAGTGTGTCTTGTTTACGGATGCAAAGCGGGCTAATTGCAAGCGGCTCTGGGGAGTCTGAGAGTGAGTCTGAGGGAGTTCTGTCAGGGAAGACTTGCAGGTCTGACCGTGCAAACAATCGCTCGTCTTGGCCAATGACAGCTCCCGTCTGACGGATTCTCAGTAGTCTGAGCAGTCTACGGCGGCGATGCTACCCGAGGAGAACCCGACTGCGACTGAGAATCTGCTGCTGCAGTTGGCTATAATTAGTGCAGCAGTGAGCCGAAGTAAGAAGAATTCGCCTCTACTACTATATTTGGCACAGAAGTCTAGATGAAGTGAGGGAGGGAGAGGGAGGGAGTGAGGGAGCCAAATTGCTGAAGATCATACAACAGAATTCGGCATTTCCAAGCGCGCACGTTTCTATCACTCTCCGTCTAAGAATCCTGGTGGTGGACAAAAATAGGAAATAAGAACAAGATCTGCAGACACACAGAGTTTGCGGATCACTCTCAGGCTGCGCCTGCCAGAGCGCAGTCAATTTAAAGATCAAAGTTCGAGAATGCAGAGAGCTCCAGATGACAATGCAAATCGACTTTACTGTTCTCTGCCAGTAAATCCGATTCCCTCATTTACGCCCTAGATGCGCCAGGGATTGGGGCTGCTGCTGCTACTGCTGATGCTGCTGGTTTTGTAGCAGAGAAAGGACACATCCGCCGTTCGGTGGTATCGGCTTTGGTTGCTAAGCAAGTTGTCTTTGTATCACCACTTTGCTCTCTCTCTCTCTCTCTCTCCCTGTCACTGGCAGCTAATGATGATCATGTGTGAGAGAGCCTATCATGTGATGATAGTGTGCAGCGGCGGTGGTGGTGATGGCGATACTTGGCGAGCAAATCTCACGAGATGCGAGGATGCGCCAGCCACTACGTGCCACTTAGTCGCCAGAAGGACACTACTACTCGAAGGAAGAGAGGAGAGGAGATGCAAATGGCTCGCCTCTAAACCTCTACACCACTGTACAGCACTGTACAGGACTGTACGACCGACGGGTGAAAAGTGCTGTGTACCCACCAGTTCACCAGGAGCTCACCAGGCCACCAGCTACCCTTGAGGAGCAGCAACGAGTTGCACTCTAGGCCAGCCTTCAGTGCAACTTTATTCGACAAGTCACTGCCTGAGAACTGTCCAGCATCAGAGTCATCAGGCACACCACAGGCAACAACTGTGCTCGAGATGATGGCGTCACACGTCGAAGGAGGCACAATCATCTGAGAAGCTGCACACGCCGTCACCGTCACCACCACCACCACTTGCTCTTCACGGACTAATCATCTTCGAGATGAACTGAGCATGTCATCTGAACGATAAGTGACGGTCGAAGGACAGGAGACAGTGTGAGGCAAGTGGCAGGCAGGCATTCAGTGCCGATCACAACGACAACAACACATAGTGTGCCTGTTGCAGTGTGCAATTGCAGGTGCTTAGGAAGTGCAAGTGCTGGGCACGCCACCACCACCAGCAGGAGAACCACAAACGACCCAGCGATGGTGGTGATGAAGTGTCCCGCTGACGACAGACGACTTGATTGCACTTGGGCGCCACTAGCTCAGACGACGGCGGCGGCGGTTTCACTTGCGATCACGGCAAAAGAGAGAGAGAGGACAAATCAATGGACCTAATCTTATCAGAGTGANAAACGACCCAGCGATGGTGGTGATGAAGTGTCCCGCTGACGACAGACGACTTGATTGCACTTGGGCGCCACTAGCTCAGACGGCGGCGGCGGCGGTTTCACTTGCGATCACGGCAAGAGAGAGAGGACAAATCAATGGACCTAATCTTATCAGAGTGAGTAGTGTAGTGTAGTAGTTGGCTAGCTACAATGTTACTATTGTACAGCACTCGTACTAATACTACTACTGTTGATGATGCTGATCCTAGGTGGTGGTGGTGTGTAGGGCAAGTGCACCATTCAACTGACTCCACTCGGGAAGATGCGAAAGGAAGAAGAAGACACAGCAAGTGGCGAGGGGGCCGTCAGCGACAGTGCCCCACTAATTGGCGCCACATTAGAAAGTCACTCAGACAGATCATCTGAGAGCATATCAAAGTTTGCAATGTCGGTGGGATCCCTCTAATCCTCTGACGATGATAGCTGACGTCGAGTGAGTGGTTGCGTAAACAAGAGGTACCACCACCAAGTGTGGGGTAGTCCCCTGCCGACGCAAAGACTGCTCTCTCACTCACTCACCGATGTTGCTGGCAATAAAAAAAATCCCTGCATCGCCTGGACATCACTGCTGATCGGCTGACACGTGTTCTCCAACAGATGGGTGTGCCAGTGAGGGGAGTAGTAGTGACGCCATTGTCGGACAAGAAAAATTGCAGGCGAACTTGTTTGCAAACACACACACACACATTCCTCTCCCCCTTTTCCCCGTTTTGCCATATAGCAGTGACGCCAGTGCACCAGAGAAAGGTTGCTCGTTGCGGTGGGCACCCTCTCCCTCGCCCCGTCTCCAAGAGCATGGCCATATAGTCGAGTTGACCTCGATTAACCTCGCCTAGTGAGCAGCAGTACAGTTCAGAGCGGCGCTCTGTACACACGCACATTGATGGTAATGGACGGGCAGACCGGCAACAGTAGAAGGGAGCGAATTAGGCAAAAGCTCTAGCAAACAAAGGACTGGCTCTGGCACTAATCAGAACGCCCTCAGTGCTTGCTGCAGCAGCACCGAGGTGTCATTACCCAGACACCCAGAGCACTCGGCTCTGTCTTTCCTCAGTGGTGTCAGCTTTCCAGACGAGAGAGAGAGAGAGGCAAGTACTGCAAGCAAAATGAGGAGGTCATGATCACACTCACACAGTCCTTGTGTCTCTGCTCTGGGCAAACACGAACAATTAAGTACACACACAAACAGTGGAGCTCATTGGACGTGGTGCTCGTCCACGTCCCGGCACTGGTCATTAAACTTGCTCGCCTCGAACTAATTCAATTAGCGAAAGTAAATACAATTCCAGGCGAAACGAGTGTCCAGGGTGCGTAGGGTAGACCTTCGCATGCAGCGCGAGAGAACCGCTACCCTGGCCTCCTAAACTGACCGAATAATTGCGGCGGGAAGAAGAAGGCCGCCTTGTTAGCAGCGGCGGTGGCGAGGAAGGGCGGCTAAGTGGGTGCTGCTGCTGCTGGTGCAATGCGGGGCACAAAACAATAAAAGTGTAAAATGGTGCACTGCAACACGGCTCCTCTGCAGCTGCAGCTGCTGCTTATCACTGGCTGCTGCATTGCATTGTCTGGCGCCAAATGGCTCCCCATATAGTTTGTCGCGGCGGATCAGTGCCGACGCTGCTCCTTGCGGACACATGAAAGGGGCTACTGCTGCTGCTGTTGCTGCCGTTGCTGATTGAGTGTCCAAAGGCACTGGTGTTTGCCTTGTGCGCGCGCCAGTCGTCTGGTGATACCGTGCGGCACGACAATTGATTAAGATTAGAAGCTCATTGGTAGCGGTGGTGGTTGCCAGTGGAGTCGGCAGACTCCAGTGGTCCTCCTGCTCCTGCTCCTGTACTCAAGCAAAGTCTGTCTGGCTTCGGGGTAGCAGGACTCCTCAGTTCAGAGGAGGAAAGTGTTGCTGTTGTCGTTGCCGCCGTTACCGCCGGGGATTTCCTCTCTCTCTCCTTCTCTTCAACTCACTTAGAGGCTACCAGTGGGCGCGCCTAAGCCGAAGCTCACCGAGACAATGGAGCACTGGGCGCCACATAGCGCCGGCAAAGAACTCGACT